TGTCAAATATGACACTGACAAGCGGGAAGTTTCGCACCTGTTCTGGAGATTTCTAGAACTATCTGGAATACCTGGAGAAAAGGATATAAGCGACGGCGAGAACCAGACCGAAAAAAGAAGTGAAGTGACAGCCGCGCCTGAGTGCAGAAGAAGTTAAACCCGCGAGTCGGAAATCCGTGTTTTCCGTGTGTTATTGTTATCGTTTGTGAAGTTGACATTAATTTTAGAAGTTAGTTTGTTCCTGTTCCGTAGTTAAAGTTGTACCGAGTGGAATAAAAGTTGTAACCAGAAGAAAGAATTTGATACTCGGCCATCCACGGTACAATATAGTAAATTAATAGTATTAGTATAGGTCCCGGAAAGAAAAATTTTCATTTCGCTCAAGCCTAAGTTACTTGGAAGGAAGTACTATGGGAACCATGCAGGCATCTTACTGACTATCGACTTTAACTCCGACGAGACTTGGACAAGACGATAACTTTAGGGCAGTTTCTCAATAACGGAAGAAAACTGGAATACTTTAAGATTTCGATTCACTTCCCATATCCCATTTTATTTCCACTATCAGAGGCCTAAATAATTGTATCCTATTGCCTATGCCGCTGTCATTACAGATGTGTAAATATGTTTTCATTTTTACGATCCGGGGATCAGGTAAATTTCGTAAGAATATGATGAAACTATTTTGATTTTAAGTACAAAACTAATGTTGGAAGCGCGCATATGTATGCAAACAACAAATAACTTATCTTCGCTACTCTGATATACCAAACACATTAATTCTTATCAGACTATCAAAATGTAACAAAAAAAAAACGTAAACTTGACGTTTGCGTTCGCCGTTATCGTTTGCGTCCAAATTAAAGTATTGGAATACTTAACGTCCATTTATAAACACCGCGGCCCGTTACCCTTTGCTTTCCGTGTTGCGTTTTACGAACAAATTTCACTTCTTGGCGGTGAACATTTGTAGAACAGCCGTAGTACTGACGTAATAACCAATCCGAATTTAGTATTTGGTCAAACCGAATCAGCTGATACAAATTACTGAATTGTCTGACGCCTTATTTTCAAAGCACAAGCACAGAAAACTAATCCAACCAAACTTAATAACTCTGTACTTTTTTCGGAAAACATTATGAAGTAAACAACTTCTTCAAAACATTCTATAGCAACAGGAAAGATCTTAGGTTAAAAATTCGACTGACAGCAACAGGTAACGGCAACGTCAAGTTTATAAATGGGTCTTAAATAATTGAATCGTATTACCCATGCCGCTGTCATTACAGTTGTATGCAAATATTTTTTTCGGTATTAAATATGAAAACTTATGTTGGAAACACGCATATGTATGCAGGCAAGAAATATCTTAACTTCGCTACTCTGATAAACCAAACACATTAATTCTTATCAGACTATCAAAATATACCAAAGTGTGGTCATTCAACGGTTTGAACGTGTAGCGAGTGCTGCTTGGCAATGTAAGTAAAAAATAAAACAAATAACTTATTATATTTTTGAAATTTCACTTTTAATTTGCAAATTGAGCAGTGTGCCGAAGTCATTGGGGGCAAGCGATGTAAAATATTTTCAATAAGGCCACACGTTACCGATTGCCGTTGTCTATATCAACTTGCTTATTTTAAATCGAACATCCTATATTTTATTACAATTTAAAATTTTACCATAAATTTTAAATATATTTCAGGTATATTATCCTATACCCAAGTCCAACTGTTCTTGAAACATTTGAACTTTTATGTAAAAATAATAGTTGCAGCCGAATAATTATTCCTTTTTCGTATGAGGGATAATGTGTTACTTAATTTGAGTCGCATTTCTTGCTGAAAGGACTTACTTTAATGGAATTTTGATAACTTTTCAACTTCATTAAATTCAACTTTTCCGTTCATCGCATGCGGTAGTTGCTGGGGGTTAATTGGATTTGTATGGTTTCCAATTTTTTACTTTGGGGTCATAAGTTTGCAAGTTCATGTTTATTTTTATTGTTTATCAACGGGACCACGGGTTGTAAGCGGGCGGAATCTTATTGGGTTCACGTTCAGCTAACGTCAATTGTTATAACTATCAAATGGGTATGATCACGATCCGCTTGCAATAACATAAACAGGGTAAACATTTGTTCCTTGTTATGGTTTGGGCTGCTGCTTGATTCCTTTCACCCATGTTTTCCAGAATTTTGATCCAAGATAGATTTTAGTTTAATAACACATTACCAGCGACATACCTGTTTCAAAATATGCACGATGATTTCAGGTCCGAATTCTTTATTTTCACACAGAACAGGAGGTCAAAATAATATACAGGGTGTCGCAATAAGGATGGTAAGCGGCTGTATCTTCGAAAGTATGTGTTGTAGAGTGATCGGAAAAAAACTGATAACAAACTTGAAGAAAACAATTTGCTGGAAATCATTTCGAAATTTCTCAGATGACCCCTAGATGGCGTAATTGCAAACGGTATTTTAAAAATTCGATTTTATACAGAAATTGTCCCTATAAGTGAAACATCTAGTAAGTTTAGTCAAAAGATAATAAAAAACCTTACTACTTTCCTTGTGCACTTTTTTTCTAACCTCTCAAATAAAGCGTCGGGGGAGAGTTAAACCGCTTAGTTCAATAAGACTTGTAACTCCGAAACGGCTAGACCGATTTCAAAGTTGTTACTATCAATTGAAAGAGCAATAAAAACTCTACAATATGTGATATAAAAGTATTCTTAATCATTTTCGATTAATCCGATGTTCGAACATTTTCTGTTTTAATTTTTCACAAAAATTTCAAATACTACCATCAAGTTATTTTACACGCATTCGAAAGCACAGGGAAAAATGAACTAAACCGCAAAAACCGCATCTTGAAATAATTGCTGGAATCGATTTAATACTTAAAAATAATAAAGGTTGCTTAATTCAGATAATTAAAGTAGACTTTGGAAGAAAAAATGTTGTTTTATTTTTCCCACTATTTTCAAACTTACTAGATGTTTCACTTATAAGGACAATTCCTACTTTAATTATTTGAATTAGGCAACCCTAATTATTTTCAAGTATTAAATCGGTTCCAGAAATTATTTTGAGATGCGGTTTTKGCGGTTTGGTTCATTTCTTCCTTTGCTTTCGAATGCGTGTAAAATAATTTGATGGTAGCATTTGAAATTTTTGTGAAAAATTAAAACAAATAATTTTTTTTGAACAGCGGATTTTTTAAAAATGATTAAGATTATTTTTATATCACATACTGCAGAGTTTTTATTGCTCTTTCAATTGATAGTAAAAACTTTGAACTCGGTTATTCCGTTTCGGAGTTATAGGTTTCTTTGAATTAAGCGGTCTGACTCTCCCCCCACGGTTTATTCGATAAGTTAGGAAAAAGTTCATAAGGAAAGAACTACGGTTTTTTATGATCTTTTGACTAAACTTACTAGATGTTTCACTTATAGGGACAATTTCTGTATAAATTTGACTTTTTAAAATACCGTTTGCAATTACGCCATCTAGTGGTCATCTGAGAAATTTCAAAATAATTTCCAGCCAATTCTTGCTTGTTGTATGCCCCTAAGAGACCCCGCAAAAAATAGGTTGTTATTATTACAGACATAAACTTTTTAAATAATTATTTATACTACCTAAAATCCCTTAAAACAATGCCTTTAAAACCAATTTTGGTGTTTGAATTCGCCAGGTACCGACCAGTTTGTACTTACCCACTGCTCAAATTTTCAACACCCTATATCTCAATAGCACATTGGATAGTTTGAAACTTAAACTACAAAAAGGTACCCTGGTTTAACATGGGCACAATGAACTATTTTCCAGCAAAATCCTGTTATTTTAATTAAGTTTCTCCCTTGTTTCAACATAAGTTGAACAAACCAAGGTTTTCCTGGGATCCAGAGGTAAAAATCTAATAGATCTAAGTCGGAAAAACGGGGAGGCCAAGCCACAGAATCTCTTCTACCGATCCAGTGATTTGTAATATTATTGGTTACAACTTAAGTGATTACGTAAAACTACATTAAAATGAAAAGATGCCCCATCATGCATGTTCCAATTGTTTCTGCTCATAATATGGTATCGCGTTTACAACGTCATTCAATAAATAAGTAAATTAAGAGTAGAATTTAAATATTAGCCTTAAAGAAATGTATGTTGAACCAACTTGTCAATTATTTTATTAAACAATTGTATTTAAAATTTTTTATTTCTGTCTCGAAATTAGCTTTAAGTTAGTTAAAAATGTATTAAAACAGAAACCCTTTTCTCGGATACTATTCATCGATATCCAACAAAAGTAACATTTTTTTAGTTTCAGTTTCAAGGTATCTAAAAATATTTCCTTTGTGCTAGTGTGATACAGGGCGATAAAAATTTGTGGTTGATTCTCTACAACCTGGTCGGTCCCTGGCGGACTTAAACAGCAAGAGGAGTTTTAAAGGCACTATTTTAAAGGGCCTTAACTAGTTTCTATCATAGATAAGTTCTATATTGTTGAGGCGGATTCATTTTTTACAAACTTCTTTTTGGGTATTTCGC